ACATAACATGTGATAAAATAATTGTACACCAAAACCTTAGGTGGTATAAACTATAAAATTCAATGTATATAAGCATCCAGAGACTACAAGAATGACAATGGTACCTCACTCAGGCTATAATTCTGTCTGGGAAGAACTTTATGCATGAATCACTTAGGCTGCATAGTGAACCTATTAATCTGTCATTTATATCCACCTGTCTGCTTAAGTGCAATTCGTATGTGCTATGCGATCAAATATTCACTGTTAGCACAACTTCACTAGAAAAGTTCGAAAGAGTGATGACAACAAATTAAGAACACTTCTATATTATTTGCACGGAAGCTGTAGTTTGCAGTATTGGCCAGTTCCAAAATGATATGCCTGATCCATATTGGTAACATCCAATACAAATCTGATTTTAACCAACTTCACAGCCTTATAGTCAGAAATTGAATGCCATAAGGTAGAATTGATCAAATTCAACCTGATTTGGACGATTTGGCCAATTATAGTCAGTTTAAACCCTTCAAGGAAGAATAAGAGAAAATCGGATGGAAGTAGAGGATGAGAAGAAGAGGCAAGCCTAGACAGAAGAAATATGAAAACTATGCCAATGATTGTAACAGTAAAACAGAAGAGATGATACTAGCATTTTATTTGTTATTTGTTTTCACCATTGAAGTTGTCATTTGCAAGTATTGTTGCAATAATTTTTTCATCAATTGCCCACTGCCAGTAAAAAGTAGAGGAAAATAAAATCAAGAGTGACAAGGGGAACACAAGAGTAATGTTAAGGAAATATATAGTTACCATATTTAAAATGGAAAACAGTATGGAACTAATTAATAACCTAAAATTCTATGGGCATACTCTCTGCAAAAGTTGTTCATTATGTCTTTGTATTACCTAAAACATCAATTGCAAAAAATGCTCGTTGAATGAAGATGCCATGGATAGTTGATTGAGTAAAAATATTAGGCCACAATTCTTGTAAAAATCAATACGACACACTGTCAAAAAAATTGTTTTGTTTGAAGACAACAATAAATTCAGAACTGAGGCAATAAGGTTTCTTAATTACAATGCTTCAGGACAAGTTAGCATATGTTCTCTGGTTAAGGCAATTTAACAAGCCGTATTAAAAGATTCTGCTGAGAAAATCCACCACTTTCCACAAGTATCAGGAGTGGCATGACTTGATGACTATTATTAATTTTACATTAAGCATATGCAACAATTATGCTAATTCATTGACTTCATTGACAAAATTAATAACATGTTAAAAGAAAATAAACATAAGCTGTTCACATGGAGCAACAATTATCAAGAGCAGAAATAAAAAGAAAAAAAGAAGGCAAACGTTAACTAAAAGCAAAGGAATGTATGTACATGACATACCCATAATATCAAAGGTCACTGAGCTTCTAGCATCAGTACTTGCCCAGGTAATAATAAGCATAAGTAGGAAGAACCCCTCTCTCAAAGCCATCGGCCCTGTCAATTTCAAATGATTTAATTACATATCAGGACAAAGGCAACCATCATAACAGGATATTTTTTCCATAGAAAAATGTACCCGATACATTAACTTCATAATAAGCCAAATCACACAAATGTCATTCAATTAATTAATTAAAAATAGAGAACAAATTTAGTACTAGAAAAGAAAAGCAAGCGAGCCTTACTGCCACAGCAATTTTGGTCCTTTAGACCATGAATGACCAAAGTTCAGGTCATAAACACAACAACTTGGCCTACAGGGGTAGGTTGTGAAAATAGATCATCCTAGACTTTGCATTAGCAGGAATCTTGTGCATTGAGCTGCCCCCTCTTCTGATCATTTGTGTTCTACAAAAAATTTGTACAACATTTGTGCTATATAGAACCCCCTAGCAATATTTAGAGTCATCTTTGACCCAAAAAGTGGTATCTAATTACAAAATGAAACTACCATTTGTTCTCATCTCATGTTCTAACATGATACATGAGCTTAACCAAGTGGCTATTTGACTATATTTCTTGTGTTGACTAACAGAAATACTCTCAATCTTGATTGGTCAAAATCCCCAACAAGAAGATAGTTTCCCTCCTTGCTAGCCCTCATATATCTCTCCATCCTAACAAATACATGCTTGTCTCTTCTTAATTCCTCTTTATACCTCTACATAGTTTCCCTCCTTGCTAGCCCTAATTTATCTCTTCATCCTAACAAATGCATGCTTGTCTCTTCCTAATTCCTCTTTATACCTCTACACCTCACTAATGGTGGTGACTATGAAAGATAAAGGAAAATAAAGATAGTAAGTTAAGAAAGTTAAGAGGTATTATTCCAGTCGTGAAAGCACAAGTACTATGAGTATGATGGAATAAGATGTCAAAATGTTCCTTAGCCAACCAAGAGAGGCATGGAAGTGTAAGGCTTTACAGTGGCCTGGGCAGTACAAAGACAAAGATGATGGTGTTGCAGCTAAAACAACAAGTACTAGCACATGCTTGTGTAATTAGTCATTAATTTTGAGGAGAAGAGCTCCACTTAACATCATGAAAAAGTGTCTATGATTGAAACTACATTTTGAGAAAGAATTGAATGAGCTAGTTACTTACTACCAAGGAAAGGTAAAGTAAATGAAAAAAGGAAGCCACATATAATGGATTTAATTAATTGATGAGAAATAAGTTGCATAAAGAAATTTCTGCAAATTCTTGCCGCATAAACCCAACTATGGAACTCGATCCACCTTGGCTCAGCTTAAGATACTGCATGCACAAGATCCACACTCATTTAATATGATATATTTCAAACAGACTAATGATTAGCATTGCTAGATGCCTTTGTTGAATAAACAATCTTAGGGTTTGAATAAAAATAAGATAGAAAAAGCTTAGAGAAGGCATATAAATACTAACAAGCAGAAATTTTTTTGGGAAATTAAGCAGAAACCTTACCAAGAAACATTTAATTTCCTGTAGACTGGTGACTATATAAGGAAAGATGCAACGTCTTGAAGTACTTCTATAACTCCTAGGCTCTTAGCCTTGTTCCAATTAGCAAGAAATCCCTTCCTTTAATTTATGACAGCGTAGCATAGAATATATGTAGGAAATGAATCGGAAACTACCTTAAAGCTGGAAGAAGTGATAGTTCAGTCACATGCCACAACTCATCTCCTTGCTTTATCTAGATCCAAAAGTCAACTAAATCTGGGATCTCCACGCATATTTGCTAGTTTAGTTTTTCTTTCCCTTTAATCTTCTAATCTATTATTCTGAACTTCAACTAGCTTCCAGTTCTTCATTATTCAGGTCTCCAAATATCTGCCACCAACGGATAGATGCAACAAGGTGCCATCCTATGCTGTCTGGTTTTACCACATAATCTCCATTTCCCTAAGGCTACTAGACAACACAAAACTAATCGACTTTTTCCAGTGATGAAAAGGAGAAAACTTGGAACGATTGGATCAAAATTAGTCATTTCAATTGAAATGCACTTAGAATTCGATTACAGCGACGAAAGCATCACTAAACCCCAAAACAACCAACCGAAAGCAAAGATCAGCGTAACACAACTTCATATACCATAATTCAAGCGCAGCACCTAGTGATGCCCTTGGTTTTATGTAGGCGCCCATATCAAAGGGAACCGGAAGCAAGATCTCGAACTGAATCGAGCGACTTACTTTCTTTTTTTTTTTCGCAAATTACTCAACAAGACCGAATTTTTATCTGGCATCTAAAGAAATGATGGTACAAGTTCGATCGATTTCTTATTCGACAAGAAGAAGAAAAAAAAAAGAGTTGATCTCCCTCCGTGGAACATCAAAGAGAAGGAAACAGATCGGGGAAATACCAGTTGAAAGAACAAGCTTCTTCAAGGGGATTACAATCTCGGCGCTCCACCGACCAATTCTTACTTCTCTGGGTCGGGTACTTGATAAGGACTGGGTGGGAGGAGATCCAAGGACGACGGGGACCCAGCGAATGAATACGATAAATGCGACAAACAGAAATCGAAGCTGTGTTTGATTGGGCGGCGAGCGGCCGAGAGCTACTTGCCACCGTCGGTGATCCAACGTGAATACAAGTATTCCAACCACGGGGGTGCGATTCCCGTGTTCGGGAAAAGGCACCAAGCAGGGAACGGCGGCCGGCTTGAATGCCCTGCTGTCCTGGAATTCTGTTATCCACTCGGCCTGTGCCACGACAGCCACTATGCAGGGGACCGCGGGTATCGACCAATAAGAAGCGTTCCCAAAATCTGTTCGGTGTCTCCGTCTCCTCAGTCGGGTGAATCCATCCACCGTGGTGGTGTATAGATACACCGTTGAGGAACGAAACTTATCTAATATTTTTTTAATGTGATAATCTATTTATTAAAATTTAAGAGTTTAAAATTCATATAATATATAATATATATTAATTATAAATATAAGAATTCTTACATTTATTGTAAGGTCTTATATTTGAATCATACATTCACCGTGGGTCCCATGGTGGTCCCATAGGGGGATTAATTAAGTAATTTATTAAGAGTAGTATATCCGGTAAAAGATCTAATGCAAATTCCAAACTGATCCGCGTAAGACAACTCCATTAACCCAACATATAATGTCCAAAGTGCTATTCATGCATATAAGCAGCACTTGCATGCAATGCAATATTACTATGTCTAATTATTATTACTATGTGTTAGTATCGGTCATAGTGGTAAGATTGTTTCCAAGTCAATAACATGGTGACAGCTTCATGATTGCAGCGGTCATTGGACGGTTGGATGTTCTTCTCAAGCGAGAGCTGTTTGGACCGCAATTCCAGGTTGGTCCTCTGGTGGGGCCAATTTGGTAACTCCCGTAGGCACGTTGACTTTGACTTTCCCTCTGTCTGAGAGCAGAACCCTTTGCAGTTTGACCGTCAGGTGGCACACTACGATCTTTCGTTCATCTTTATTTTGTTCTGCTCTTCGACCGTCTGCGACAGGAAGATCGTCTTGCTTTTTTGGCTCCTTGCACAAGATATATCTGCTTCATTCCTCTTTGCATGAGCTAAATAGCTGAATTCTTTACTTCTCTTCGATCGACTCCCATTCCAAAGGTAAATCATAAACTTGGTGATATGAAATAGTTGAAGCTTGTTATTCTGGATGCTCTGATCCGAAATTTATGACCAAAAAATCTTGCAGTAGTAATAGTTTTCATTCTTATTCTATCAGAACTGGAGTTGCAAGAACTCTGTTGAACCTCGAAAAGATTGATTGTGGATTCCTCCGTGCAAAGATAAGTCTCACCCCAGCGAGACGAGATTGTGCAAGAACTGGTTTTGTTTAGATTTCTTTGTGCAGGTTGCCGAGAGGAGGATGGTTTCCTGTAGTACCAGTGATGGTGAACAAGAATCCAGCTCGGATCCAAATGTTCCTGAGCTCAGGGACTACCGTATCCAAATCCCATCGCTTCAGAAAACACTGCTGGAGCCAAGAAGCGGTAGGAGCAGGCTCTTGGATTTGTTGAAGAAGCTTAATTTCTCTTCCCCGCTCAGAATTCTCCGTCGAACTCTGAACCAAAGAGAGGAGATCTCGCTTTCCGTCCCTTCTCCCGTCGGCATCCAACGGCGCTTCCATGTTCAGTTCTTCGGGAGAATCAACTGGTCATCTTTCTTCGGCACCTGCAGAGCTTGGCTGAAAAATCCCATGAACATTGCCCTTCTCATCTGGCTAATCTGCGTTGCAGTCTCCGCCACCATGCTGGGCCTCCTCCTCCTCGGATTGCTGAACAACGCATTCCCCACAAAATCCTCGAGAAACCACTGGATCGAGATCAACAACCAGGTCCTCAATGCGCTCTTTACGCTCATGAGCATCTACCAGCACCCCAGGCTCTTTCACCACCTCGTCATGCTATGCCGGTGGAACTCAGAGGACATCGTCGAGCTCAGAAAGATATACTGCAAGAACGGAGCCTATCGACCTCACGAGTGGGCTCACATGATGGTCGCCCTGCTCCTCCTTCACATCACTTGCTTTGCGCAGTACACCTTGTGTGGTCTCTACTGGGGCTACGCCAGGAAGAACCGACCGGAGTTCCTCGAGGACTTCTTCTTCGCCTTGGGGCTTGCAGCGCCGGTCTTGGCTGCTCTGTACACACTGTATAGTCCTCTTGGAAGGGAATATAGCTCCAATTCGGATGAAGAATCACAATCTCAGATACCCAAAGCTTGCGATGAGCAACGCAGGAAGCACGGCCCGAGAACTGCAGCGAGCAAACCCGAGTGGGCTGGAGGACTTCTCGACGTCAGGGACGACATTACCGTCTGTTACCTCTCCTTCTTCTGCACCTGCTGCGTCTTCGGTTGGAACATGGAGAGACTCGGGTTCGGTAACATGTACGTCCACATCTTCACCTTCCTCCTGCTCTGCGTCGCGCCGTTCTGGATCTTCAACATCTCGGCTCTCAACATCCACAACTACGTCATCGGAGATGTCATCGGGATCGCCGGAGTAGTCCTGTGCGCGTTCGGGCTGCTGTACGGGGGGTTTTGGAGGATCCAAATGCGGAAAAGATTCAAACTCCCCGGCGACACATGCTGTTTGGGCTCGGCGTCGCTTACGGACTACGGCAAGTGGTTGTTCTGCTGGGCGTGTTCTCTGGCACAGGAGGTGCGCACCGGGAACCTCTACGATGTGGAAGATGACAGCCTCTCGAGGAGGGTAATGCAAAGTGGGGATGGAGAGGGGGAGAGTGCTGTGGATCCTCGACCCTGTCAAGATGATTCCGGAACAGCAATGACCACATCTGAGACGCAGCATAGGGAAGGGGAAAATGATGGCGCAGCTGCAGAAGATGCCGCATTGGTTCTCAGTGATGTGATGAATCCACCAATTCCACCATTGATACAGTTAAGAGAGGTGGTCTGCGACGATGACTCTATTCATCCACCACCTTCGACTTGAACTGTGCAACTTGAGATTTTTCTTGTTTTATTAGAATTTGGCAGCATCACATCGATCATAAAGCTGTGTAATGTGTTGTGGGACGTCTGCGATCAGCTATGTGTGCTGGTGGAAGATTAATCTTTCATGAATCTCTTAAGAGATCATTGAAGAGGTTGAAGAAAGCGAGATATCCTTGTCATGTTTCATTTAGAAAGTCATGGTTCCTGCGAAGAAATGAGAGGCTAGCCAATTCAAGATATTATTCTGGGTAAATTTCCGGAAAAAATAATTATTTTTTAGTTTTTTTTCTTCAAGAAATGTCTTAATTTTCAGAATTATCTAATAATATTTTTTTTTTACCTAATACCTCCAAACTACCTATCTTCTTTCATTAGTTATAATATTTTTATATACACATTAAAATATTTTTAGAAATACTATAATATTTTTTATATTATTTAAAATATCATAAACATAATATGTTTATAAAATTTATATAAAAGTAATATATTTTTTATATTACTAAAAATGCTATAACACAAATGTAAAAATACTATAATCGGATCGATTCATCTTATAGACTAATTCATAATAAATAGAGAGAAAAAGAGAAAAAAAATGAATGGGTATCTAAGTCAAAAATATTTCATGTATTATGAAAAAAAAGACAAAGGGTATTTTTCAAAAAAAAAATAAAAAGAGAGGATTTTTTTCAAGAATCAGCCGTCTTTGGATGACTGAAAAATAAATAAATAAAATAAAGAAGCTTCAAAGTCAATAACTTGACCATCATAAGGCACAGCAACACCAACTCACACTCCCTGATTCAACGGTCGTGCACCAACGTACACGGCCGAAGAAATAAGCTTGTAGTAAGTAATACGATAAGGTCAGCGTTGACAGGTTTGCCTCGGTCAAGTAAACCAAAGGATTAATGCACCGGCATCAACGCTCTCCCACTGCAGTCCACGCTGCTACTCCTTCTTGCCGACCCTCTCTGACTCTTTCCCTCCCATCCTCTTCGTTTACTCTCTCTCTCTCGCTCCCTCTCTCGATCTATCTATCTATATATAAGAGGTGAGCAGCAGTTATTTGCTTCTCCAAGAGCTGCTTGTTTCGTGTCCCAGCCGAGCAAGGGAGAGAGTGAGATTAGAGCTTGGGAACGCTGAATCTTCTCCTCCATAAAACAAGAAGGTAGCAGGCAGCAGCCTTTATCTTTGTTGTCTTATTTCTCTCCCTTCCATCTTGAGTAGATGACAAACTCATCATCTTTAATGTTATTCAAGCATATCCATTCTTACTCATATTTTCCTCTCAAGTGTTTATACTCTTATTGTCATAAGTCATATCGAGTTATGTAAAATGATGATCGGCTTTGAACTTTAAGAAGTTCCTTTAATTTTTTTTGTTGGGTAAATTACATTAGAGATCTGTACGGAGTTCATTTATTAGCTTTTGAGGTGTTTATATATCTTGATTCCTTTGACACACAGATAATAGCTTATTACTCTGCAAAGCTTGAGGAATGGAATCGAATGGAAGCCGTCAGAGTACAGAGGACACCAAAGCAGCAATCGAGAAGAGTGAAAGAAGTATGACGACGAAGCTCTCCTGCTGCATCCGAAGAAAGGAAGAACAATTCTTGGATCGGACACGACATGTGAGAAGGTTCCTAGATTTCTTGAAGGCTCAACCGTCCAAAGATTGGTTCCTCAGATTCGGCTCTGTCGGCAGATCATCTCCTTTCACCTTCGTGAAGAGAATCGGAAGCCAAAGAGGCGGCTCTTCGCCACCGGACTGTGCTCCTGTTCATGGCTGCCGACCTCTTCGCGTGCCATTTGTAAGAAGGATCAACTGGGAAGGCCTGATCACGTACTGCAAGAACTGGGTAAAGCACCCCATGAACATGGCTCTGCTGGTCTGGCTCTTCTTCGTCGCCGTAGGCCTCTTCGTCCTCTTCCTCTTCATGACCGGACTCCTGGACCACACCATACCCAAGAGTTCGCAGAGGAAGCGATGGACTGAGATCACCAACCAGATCGTGAACGCGCTCTTCACCATCATGTGCATCTACCAACACCCCAAGCTGTTCCACCACTTGGTGCTCCTATGTAGGTGGACATCGACCGACGTTGCCGAGCTGAGGAAGGTGTACTCCAAGAACGGAGCCCCGCGGCCCAACGAGTGGGCTCACATGATGCTCGTGGTGCTCCTCCTCCACACCACCTGCTTCTCTCAGTATGGCTTGTGCGGACTCTACTGGGGTTACTCGAGCGACAGTCGACCGACATGGCCGCAGATCCTCTTCATCGTCCTTGGAATCGCAGCGCCAGTTGCCGCCGGCATCTACGCTGTTTACGGTCCCTTGGGAAAGAAGCAGGAGTCCGAAACCGACGTAGAATCGCGTCAAATGGCCGTGGCTGCTGCACCGGACACCGATCTGCTGAAGACACGCAACAAAAGTGTGGTGATCACGAAGCCCGAATGGGTCGGCGGACTCTTCGACTGCTGGGACGACCCCACGGTGGCCTCTCTCTCAGTCTTCTGCACGTTGTGCGTGTTTGGGTGGAACATGGAGAGGCTCGGATTCGGCAACATGTACGTGCACATCGTCACGTTCCTGCTCCTCTGCGTTGCGCCTCTGCTGGTGTTCAGCGTGACGGCGATCAACATCGACGACGATATTGCCAGATACACGACGGGGATCACCGGCATCCTGCTCTGCTTCTGCGGACTGCTTTACGGAGGCTTTTGGCGGATTCAGATGAGGAAAAGATTCAAGCTTCCGGCGAATCCTTTCTGCTGTGGCTATCCGGCCATGACGGACTTCATGCAGTGGCTGTTTTGCTGGTCGTGCTCGTTGGCGCAGGAGGTGCGCACCGGGAACTTGTACGACATCGAGGAGGACAGCTTCCATCAGAAAGGAGGAGAAGACGAGAGCTCAAAGGTGCACCCTCTGCCGCGAGAAGGTGGAATGGGGCCATTAATGGAATCCAGCTCTTTGGCACACAGCCACTCCAACCCACACACAGGCAAATCAAACAGTAAACCTGATTCTAATGGAACAGCAACGAATTGTGTCAGAATCAACATAGATGAGGCAGCATGTGGAGGTGAGAAAGACGATTCCATGACACCACCACTTCAGCCACTGGTTCAGCTAAGAACACCGTAAGGCAAGAAGAAGATCATGAATGGCCATGGTCATGCTCTGTTCCTCTTCAGGTTTCTCATAGAGATTCCAAGTCTGTAGAATTCATTCATTGCACTACTGATGTAGAGAAAACTATTATTAGGAAACCATAAGGTGATTTCTACATGCATTAGAAACATTGTGAATATGTTATCGGATGCTTACCTCAGAAATGTTATATTAGTCCATTCATTTTGTTATTGTTAAAATATGAGGAAAAAATATTTTCTACATGCATTAGAAACATTGTGAATATGTTATATTAGAATATAAGATTTGCATATATTATATGATTTATTATGATTTTTTTTTTTTAACTGAGGGATCATTAATCTAAAAAACTCAAAGCTATTGTTGGACGAGATGGAATATTTAGGAACCAAAATTCATTTTCACCTTGAATTTATTATCTTTATCCAAATCTTTTATAAGCATTTTTCTTCCAGTCATCAAATGCCACCATTGCAAGCCATCGGTCAATCACCTACTCATGCATTAGGGGTACACTTATGGGATTAAATCTTAAAAAAACAAAACATTCCATTTAGAAAGACACATCTGATGTCAACAACAAATGCTATGGAGTTGGTTGATATATAAATGTCATAATGTCTTGTGCTCTTGGACAGTCTATTTAGATTAACAGCGGCTAATTATATATTATCTTTTGTAATGTTATAATATCTAAACTTCTATTCTTTGGCAAAGAAAAATATGCACATTAACAACGGCTAATTACATTATTATCTTTTATAATTAGATTTAAAAAATTTATATTAAAATTTTTATAGTTATGAAAGTAAAACATTTAACTTTATTTACTTGATCTAATTAATTTTATCGGTAAAAATATAAAAATAATAAGCAAGAAGGTATTTTTAACATTTCAATTGATAATAGTGGACGATGATGCTGTTGAGAGTCATGGGCGATTACTGTGGATGAGAAGAGTGACGACGATAGGTGACTATGTCGACACTGATACAATCATCGAGCATCTCTTATCTCTCATCGTCACTCTTTTTATAGTCACCTATGGCTTCCAACGACAATGTTAAAAATAATTTTTTACCGATTGTTTTCGTATTTTTATCGATAAAACTGACGACGTGAAGATAAATGGAATCAGATGTTTTACTTTCATAAGTATAGAGATTTAAATATAAATTTTTTAAGTTCATAAATCAAAATGCTGAAAAGCTCTAAATATAGTGGAGAATCTATAATTAACCTAATTAACATTATATGAAGAAAAAACTATTTTAGTAAAGTAAAAATATTTTGATATTCAATAATTTATTATCTTCATAAGAATGTCATTCGCAACTTGAAACCTTAAACTAATTACGATAAATAAAAAATAATAAAATATATCTGTTTGGTATCAACATTTTGATTGATGTATTTTTCCTGAATAATTGATATTTATTCAACTTGTGTTTCTTTTGGAAAAAAAAATATTTCGATTAACTTGATTATAGGCAGATCAGTCTATTGAATCCGAATAATAACTTGATTATAGGCAGGGCTTAGATTTCTTTTCACGAGGACTACATCGGGTAGTCATCGCGGGTGCTTGACCCCTTCTATAGAGCCCGTTGCCGAAAGTCATCCCTTCTCCTTATAGCCGTCCAGGCCTCCGCCGCGATGTACTGGTTAGCCCGCTGGAGCATCTCTGGCACTACAGTGGGAGGTCACTTTGCGAGGGACCAGAGGAATCTGGAAGGTCACAGGCCTATCATAAACGCCTGCACTAACATAGAGGGGTGAGTGTTCGACAAACCTCGGATTTGTGTGGCAAAGCGATCGACAAAATGTGAGAGGGGCTCGTCCTCCCTTTGTTTGAGTCCGAGGAGCAGTGCCGTGGAGGGCTTTGGCCGTGCATAGGCTACGAAGTGAAGCTTGAAGTCCTTAGCGAGCTGGCCGAAGAAAGCAATCGTTCCAATCTTCAAGCCGCCATACCACGCGTGGGCCGGCCCTCTTAGAGTGGTAGGAAACGCTCTGCACATCAGGGCATCAGAGGTTTCGTATAGCGCCATTTGGGCGCGAAAAGCGGCTATGTGGTCCGCTGGGTCGGTGGAGCCATCGTAAGCGTCCAGAGAGGGGAGCTGGAAGTCCGGGGGGACTGTCAGATCCCGTATCTCGGGCGTGAAGGGAGACCCTTGGTGTGTGTCCTCCCCGAGCTCTCCCTTGGACCTGCGAACCTCTTTCTGCACCTCGTCGAGTCGCTGGCTGACGAGGCGCAACTGGGCCCGCAGGAAGTCCGAAGAGAGTGCCTCGGGTTCCGGGCGACCGCTCGGGTTTGCCATCACTGGATCCCCGAGTGGGGCCGGTCGGACCCGAGACGAAGTGGGGGGCTCCGGTAGTGTCATGTGGGCCCGAACGGGTGCCTTGCATTGTCGTAGTGGTTCGATCGCGGGCGGGTGCACCGGATGCGAAACGAGCGGGATAATGGTTTGCACCATTTCCATCAGAGCTCGGACTTGATGGGCGAGGTCTTGAAAGGCCTCGGGTGACACGGGCGTTGAGTCGGCTGGGGCGCCGTCAGGCGGTGACAAGCCCGGGTCGTTGAATATTCGCCAGTATCGTTCGGAGGTCATGGCGGGGCATTCGTCACGATGGTCTTCGTGCGGGGGATGTTCCCCCGAGGCTTCGGTCAGGTGTGACCTCTCAGCCATGGGCTCATTTGAGCCACTCGGGTAATCACCCGACATTCCGGGCCCTCCTTCTAGTGTTAGTCTGTTGTGGGAAATAGCCTTGAGCCGTGGCCTCGAGGCCGACGTGGCTCGATTCGGGTCTGGACGACGGGGATCTCCTTGGGGCGTTCCTCGAGCCCGCCGAAGTGGTTGCGCTAAGGTGGTCCGATCGGGATGGGGTGGCCGCTTCCTCCGGGCAAGGGCTCCTCGCCTGCACGTCCCGCGGGGACTTTCAGCTTCGGACCTGCACAAAGGTCGGGTCGGGAAGCTCGACCCCACCCCTCCGACGATCGAGTCAATGGATGTGGAGGGGGTTTCAGATGAAGATGTGTTTTTGTGTGTCTCCCGTTCCCTACCTTCTCTGATGAACGAGAGGGTATTTATAGGGAAGCTTACTGTTGTTTGATGTGCCCGCCTGGTAGCGTCTGACATGGGTGTTGGCGTGACGTGAAGAACCGAACCTGAGTAGGCGTTAATGCGCCTCGGTCGGTGTTCCGGTTCGATTGACTGAGTGCAACCGTGCCGATTGAGGCATGAGGCGTCGGCTGACATCAGCCGAGTCTTATCATAATTACTATCCTCATCAGATGTTATGAGCGTCGATAAAGTAAAAAATTAAAATACTCAATGGAACATATAACGAAGATATAAGATAATGTAATATATTTGAGTAAATGGTGAAGTCATAAAAATTACTCCAGATTTTATATATTTCATTTTAGCAACATACTTACACATAAGACGAAAGTATAAAAACAGTAACAATCTTCTACTTCCGATTCTGTTTACTGTTGTTTTGGCATTGAACTTTATTTCTCCATATCTGCCATTCTAACTAAACATGCCAGAAACAACATACAGTAATCATATGATAGGAACTTAAGCTTGCAACACCGAGTTATGATTCTAGAGGAGGGTCTTAATGTAGCAATAGCATCACAAGCACAAATGAAGCCAGAGAGCCATGCAACAAGAAAAAGGGGGCGATGCGTTCATACCCGTACTTGACCACCCAACAATTTGATTGGAGAATACTAACTGGAGACCACAAAAACATGATGTGGGGCCCTTCACCTTCGGTCGGGTAAGCAAGGCGGGTGGCGAGTGGAAACGGTGAGGCCAGACTTGGCCTCCAGTCAAACCCACGAGGTTTGACCAGTCAACGGTCAAAATTCCCACCCCGCTGCCCTCTTCTTCTCAGAAGAAGCCTCCGCATTCGCGTGCTATGGTGCTCGAGCCTTCTCCCTGTCTCCTATTCTTCTTAATCATCACACTCACCAATGATCAACCGATCCCAATCTCTTAGACCAGCAACGAGACACGAACAACCTCTCCTCGATCTGCCGTCCGATTCCTCCTCCCTTCCTCTTTCCTCCTGCATGGCGTCCTCCGCCGCGAGCTCCTGGCACGCCGACGCGTTCGCCTTCTCGACCGGTTCCTTCACTGAGCTGCTCTCCGGAGCCGCGGCCGACGCCCGAGAGTTCTCGGACGGTGTCGCGGGTGATGGAACTGACCTTCCCAAGTTCAAGTTCATCGCTCCGCCGTCACTGCCCATCTCTCCTTCCTCCTCCTACTTTGCCATTCCGGCGGGGTTCAGCCCAGCTGCGCTCCTCGACTCGCCCGTTCTCCTCTCTTCTGGTGTAAGTGCATGGAGTCAGCTGTGAATCTGCTATACAACATGAGAAAAGCAGCATTTGTCTTCTCTGTTTCTGTGATTTAGTATATTCTAGTGCGATTCTATGCATATGTTACTCACTTGTGATTGCCATCCAAATCATGATAAGCTTATATGAAGCATCCCCTTGGACAGATGTTTCGATCTCCTCAAGCTTTCGGTTATCAGCAAGGCATCAGGGATGGAGACGAGTGCTTGGGTGAATTCTCTTTCCAAAATGGAACCAAGCAAGCATCTTGCTTTCACCCTTCTTCCGCCTCAATTCCATCGGTACCAATTGCTCCTTCCTGCTCTTCTTCCTTTCCTATAGGTTGCAGTTCAGAAGACCTTCGTGTCTTGATGCCATTTCTTCCCGATGACGAATCCTTTAATGTGGTCATACAGGACGAACACCAACGATCATGGATGCACCAACAACATTACAGCACCACCACTCCCACTACGAAATCTGAATCCACAGCCCCCAGAGATAGCAACAGCCGCCACCCATCTGGTTCAGCTCACCATGCTCAAGCTGTTCAGACTCTGCAGAGGAGGTCAGATGACGGATACAACTGGAGGAAGTACGGGCAAAAGCAAGTGAAAGGAAGCGAGAACCCGCGCAGCTACTACAAGTGCACGTACCCGAGTTGCCCCACGAAGAAGAAGATCGAGAGATCTTTAGATGGACAGATTACCGAAATCGTATACAAAGGCACGCACAACCATCCCAAGCCTCGGTCCACCACGAGGAACTTAGCTTGCGCGCAAGCAACTCGATCTTTGATGTTGGAGTCGGTTGCCACACCTGACAATTCCTCCGTCTCCTTCGGCGATGATGATCTCGATTTGGGGTCTCAGGTGAGCAAGTCAGGAGTCGATGAATTCGAGGAGGAGGAACCTGATGCTAAGCGATGGTAAGATGTTACGGAGTTGGTCGAAGAACAAGCGATTGGCTGCCATAGTTGAGGGATGAGATGGACTCATGTCTGCCGTCCATGTTTTTGCAGGAAGGGGAAGCAAGAAGGAGAAGGTGCTGGTAGCAGGACGGTGAGAGAGCCCAGGGTGGTGGTTCAGACCACGAGTGACATTGACATCCTCGACGATGGATATCGCTGGAGGAAGTACGGGCAGAAGGTGGTGAAGGGGAATCCCAATCCAAGGCGAGCAAATTGCTTTTGCAAATGCATCGATGACCTGAAGAGTATGCATATATCTCATGTCACCTGTTGTCATCGTCGAACTGCAGGAGCTACTACAAGTGCACCACCGTGGGTTGCTCGGTGAGGAAGCATGTGGAGAGGGCTTGTCATGATCTCAGGGCGGTGATCACGACGTACGAGGGCAAGCACAACCATGATGTCCCCGCGGCCCGTGGAAGTGGTGGACAAGGCAGCAGTAGCTTCGCCATGGCGATAAGACCGACGGCGACGACGAGCAGCCATCAGAATCAGATGCTCATCACCAACTCCATCTTCAGCGGCAAATCCGATGGGTCGGCAAACCCGTCTCCTTTCAATCCACAGAACCCAAGAAACTATGAGTTCAGCTCTGGATATGATAGTTCAATAAGCACTTCTTACACGGATCCCCAGCAGCGGGGGCAGATACAGAGCGTGTTCTGCAAAGCAGCCGTAAAGGGAGAAGGAGATGAGATATTTGTCTAGTCTCTGCTGTTCTGAAACTGTTTGTCAAGTAAGCACGGCAAAATAGCTATTGTAGTTGTATAGTGTTGCAGGGGTTAATCATATTATACAGTAGATTTGTTTGTTTCATTCCTTCGTTTGAGGTCGGGCCATAGCAAGCTAACTACATATTACCCACCACCAGTTAGTTTTTTTTAATATTTCGATCTTTATATTTTAAAAAGTATATTAATATTTTTATTATTATAAAAATAAAATATTTAAATTTATTTATTATAACATCATAGATTTTATCGATGAAAATAAAGAAAAAATAATAATTTTAAAATTTCAATTGACGATAATACTACTTGGGATAGCGGATGACTATTGTAGATAAGAAGAATAGAAGCGATAGGTGAGGATCGCTCGACAACTATGTCGATATCGATGCAGAGCGATGAAAAGATCGCTTGACAATTACATCGATGTCGATACAAATAAAGAGTAACAAAAGAGTTGCTTGACAACTATGTCGACGAAAATACAGAACGATCCTTTCTTTGCTCTACATCTGTGTCAACATCGACCCTCATCTCTCGTCGATGCTATTCTCATCCACAACAATCACTTGTGGCCACCCAAAGGCGTTGTCATCCTCCACCACCGACACTATCCGCACCACCAACTAAAATATTAAAATTAATTTTTTACCTTTTATTTTCATGATTCCATTGATAAAACCAACAACGTGAGGGTAAATAGACTTAGATGTTTCACTTTCGTAACTATAAAGATATCATTATAATTTTTTAAAATATATGAATCGGAATACTAATGATAGCTAACCGTAAAGAATGATTTGTAATTAACCCACCATAGCACAATGACAATTTTGTATAAGCGAAGCGGATTCCTACTAACTTCTAGAAATAAGTCAATATAATTAAGTCCATGACAGATAACATTGGGACAACAATGCGATTTCTATGAGTATACATAAAAGTTTGATTTCAAGGACCAAAAAAAAATATTCTTGCTGGTTTTCGCTATTGCAAATTATTTGCCATACATTCTCTTACCCATTTGGCCTTAAATTCTTATCTGCCTGCTCTCATGCTATAAACATAAATGTAAATATGGAAGGCATTTTGTTCCATTTATGCAGGGAAATCCGACTTACCTCTGATATGTATCTTCCAACAACCATTTAGTGCCACGAAACAACTGGTACTATTGTGCTCTGCAAAAGAATAATGCAAGTGGATAAACTACTTGCTAGTACAATAATCACTACACTGTCCTTCTTAGAATCTATTCTATAAGATCAAAGCTGTTGGAAAAGCAACAATCTAAAAACATAAAGGTTTATCATTTGTTATCATCAGCAAGATTTCCACCCCTCCAGGATGGTGTTGCATTTCAACAACATTATGCCATTAGATAGGCCTTCACATGTTAGCTCTTACCGTTGTGTCATAGAGAAGGGCTAATCTCCAAATGTCTATGCTGATACTAGACTTAGACTGGAAATCATGTGATACAATCAGAAGCTTAAAAAAAGAATAATTTTGAACCGGGTCTGAAGGTGTATTCATGGTGTAGCTACCTGTTCTTTGGATTAATAGCCCTTCCATGCTCTGCAGGATAATTTATTGTTCTTGCAACTGCATATTTGGAAGAATGACAGTTTTTGTGTCAGTAGTTCATCTTCAGAAATGAATTATCATCTAGAACCTAACTTTGAGTCTTTGCCAATCTTCTTCCTTGTTCTCTTATGCTGTATCTGGTATCTGTTTACTGTACTAAGTCATGTCTAAGATCATCCAATATCTTGCCTACTGAAAAACAACAGCTGCAGTACAAGTGTAGATCTGTGAGGGCAGTATATTCCATCACCAACATCGGCATCCAGTTAAATCAATGGCCATCAACATTCTTTTGTCGTTCCTATCTCCATATCAGACAATAGTATCTTCCATGGTCCACCTTTGGTTTGTAACCTGGAAAGAGAATATATAAGCAAAGTAAAACCATGGAAGAGAGTGAGTGGGGTGGTGGTTGTACCTCCAAATCCCAGCAACTGCACGCAGACTCATGAAAAAAACCAAACCAGCCCATACTCCAGCAAGTCCAAATACAGGAGCAGCTATTAGTAGGAACAGTGATGAGATTACCCCCACGAGTATCTGTGGTGTATACATTATAGGTTATTATCATATTAGGGAAAGCCAAACTCGTGTTCAATGAGAAACAGAACAGACCATAGAATATGCAGCATACGAAAAGTCGGAGACACCATAATAGAGGCCATCGATTACAAAAGCAAGCGCATTGATCGGTTGAGAAACGGTGACAAACTGCAAATTTCAAACAGTTAGTACAGAGGACAAGCACAGTGTCTTGAACTCAATGGGTATGGAAAAGAAAATTCTTGCCAGAATGCCAGATTGAGCAATTTGGAGAACAGCAAAATCAGTGGTGAATAAAGTTGTGAAAGGCTCAAATCCAAAGAACAACAACACACCCAATGCAATTCCAGTTGCTGCTCCAATCTGGCAAAAGATTTAACAGACAGTGAAAAGATCATAGGCAAGTCAAAAGAAGCATAAAAGACCCTAAGAAATTCATTTTAGTTTCCCAAAGCTACCTTTAAACATAGTAATCACGTGTCTATACAAAAATGTGACGAGCTCAAAGCATGAAACCAACCTGTATAACCCTGTATATTACAAGACGGGCTTGTACATAGTTCTTCCGAGTATATTCACTTGCAAGTAAAGCCTGTAAAAAGGTTTTGCACAATTAGTTAAACTGTAGAGGCCAAGAAATAATGTTTAAAATTCGTGATATGATTTAAATTATGTTTAACAGTGAACAGACTGATTATATTATCCAACCTGACCAGCAAGTGCCAAGGCATCATTGAGCAAAGAGACCGCCAACCAAACTTGTAAGCATATCTGGTGACCTGCCATGGCAACTGGGCCTTCCCGTGCTGCCATGGAAGTTGATATTGTCATTGTAATGAGCACAGCTATAGTTCTACCAACCAAGAGGCCAACTGCACAAGAAGTCAAGAACAACATTATTTGCATATTTTTCATCTATAAGCAATTGAAATTGTAAATTAATGCAGATGCAGATTATATGTATATGATATGATTCATAGGACCTAAACCATAGTTGCCATCTCCAGACTGAACCAGCTGTTTGGACCTACAAAACTTTGAACCAGGCACTCGTCAAGTCCAATTTTTCTAAAGATCAAACATGGAATTAAAAAAAAAAGAAAAAACAGATGACCCAACCGGTTCTTCATGAACTATATTGATCCAGTGAATTCTATCAAAACCAGATCGGGTAGATCTTGTCCAATTTCTGGTCTATTGCCTACATTATCCCCATATGATGCTTCACTCCCAATGCCCCTCCTTAGGCATGTGCTGACAAGGAAGAAGAGAAGAAAAATGACTGCAAAGAATAGGAAAGGAGAAAAGAAAGCAGGAGGAAGACAAGGAATGCTGGAACAGATAGAAAGAGGAAATGGAAGATAACTGCTGAAGTGTGAAGGAATGAAGGGACAGAAAGGAAGAGAAGAATAATGAAGCCATGACCAATGGCTTGAGTTTTTGAGTCAGATGATGCCTATTGTGTTTATGAATTCTATGCAAGCAGGCTCTGAAAGGTCTCATTCTCTCACCTGACAAGGTTCTCATCTACGAATTGTGCAAAATTTCTCAAATCCATAATTTCTGTCAAACAAACAAGCCTTAGAAAAGTCCATCTTAGATGGTCATATTTGCTGTAGATTTATAAGCATCAAGATGACCTACCAGATTTTAGATATAGACTCATTCCTTCCCCGTTAATATTTGGAGACAGTATTATTTTCTCATTCAGCTTCCAGAGGAGGATACCAGCAATCATATACCTAAAAGTGAGTCGAGTTGTAACATTAAACTTGAATTAAGGCAGGAAAAGAAACAGAAGGTCCAACTAAGTAAACAACATTGCTTTTACAACAATCACATGGTTGCAAGGACATACTCAGAAATTACGGTAGATATTGCAGCACCGCCTACACCTAGACCAAATAGAAATATTAAAATGGGATCCAATATCGCGTTTAGTAAGCTTCCAGCACCTGAATGGAGGAGAATTAAATTTTTCTTGATCATAAAATTTAGCATTTTTTTTATCAACATGAAATGGAAACAGTGACCATTTTAGAGAATATCAAATGCGATGCATGACAATGGAAGCAAAAATTGGTAGTTACTACTAAGTTTTCTGTTATATTACTTGAGGACAAAAATTTTAGCACAAAAATTTAGATAGCTTATGATTCATTCCATGTTGTTTCACAATGCAACAATATTCCTTGAGGACTAGTTTTGTGCCAGTATATGTGAAACTAACCTTTCTGAAAAGCAACAACCTTGTAAACAGAGCACAGAATTTTATTCAAATGAATTAGTTTCTTAAGCAAACACTATGATAGCTGAAATAGGTCTCTTTTCTTAAGCTTCCAGGCAGCTGCTACTGGTGTCCTGATGTGTAAAGAATTCTTCTGATAATGGACATTGAAATGCATACTTAGTTTAATAAGACCACTTCATGAAATTGATCAATTCACAGAAAGCCTTTTGTTGGATCTGCTAGCAGATTGAATTGAAGATTTTAGGATTCTTCCAAACTTCTTCAAAATACAGATAGTTGCAGAGAAAATGGATTTATTGAACATTTACGACGTATATTGACAGAAAATCATGTCCAACAACTATTAGAAAGATATAAGCATCATGTTCAAGGAACTAGCATATGCTCCACACCTCAATTCACTCTACTATGTCCTTGAGAGATGGAGGTGTGGCGTCATGGTGGTGGTGCAAATAGTAGTGAAGACAGTGTCAACAATGATAGGCATAACCTAACAAAATAAGCTTCAGAGATTTTGAAAAGCTATTTTTGTAGTTTTCCAAAGTCTATACAGAATTTAATATTACAAAGAGAAGTTTTACATTCATCGTTAGTAAGCATAACTCTTGCAGACTGCAATTATCTACTTTCTTGAAAAATTTTCTACAGAAAAACACACATCTTAAGTGAGAGCCTGACTGAGACAATATGTGTAAATATATAATATCATATATGTATTATAATGAAGAATCTAGCCACTCAGATCCCAAGTGTATTGCGGTATTAATTGATAATTTTAGTTGTATCACTCCCAAGGGATAATGAAGGTAAGAGGTTATAAGATACATGCACTGCTTAGATCATGTTGATATTATTTACTAACTCTAAATAGTGACTAGGATGTGAAAATTAATCAGTGCAAGTCAATTTTGTTTTGTCAATAGACAAACAGAAACAATGGATGTTAACCATCATCCAATCACTTACTCCGTGATGCTATAACGAATCCTTGGGATCAACATATGGAAATTTCTAACAACTAGCATCAAAATACCAAATACATGATTTATCTTTTTTCCTTTTATGATACTAATATATTTATAGAGGTATGGTGTTACAAGAGGTAGAGGGAAATCTAAGAATATTTTTTTAAAATAATAAATAGAGAACTGACTGCTCTTAGTTTCATTAGTGGCATTGCCCAAAATAAAGATTCATTATTGAGAAAAGATCCATATATAAAATCACAAGTCGTTGGGTCACTATGGCTGATTGTTTTCTTGTTGTAACAAAAGTAATCAGCAGATAGAAATTGGAGGATGAACATTAAAGGATTATTAGGATCTTTCAACAGACCCACAAATAATCCAGATGAAAGAATAACGAATAATGGAGGAAAACTGATCAACTTGAAAAATATTATCTGTAGTTCCCCACCAGTTACAGACAGAATATGACTGTCAATTGTTTCAATCAGACTGTGTTAGGTTATTCAGCTAAGCTTTCTTGATAAAAAGAATATAAGCTTGTGACAAGCAGATTCCTAATACCAAACAAACACATACGAATGTAGCATTGTTTGCTTTTTGCAATTCAAGATGAGTTTTCAGGCACTTACTAGGACCTAATCAGTTGGATAAGAACACCAACCACAATTAGCATTAAACATTATGTCCAAAATTTGGAAAACATTTGTAATGTTTGAGGCATTTTTTCACGGCTTTGATGCATCAAACTTGATTATATTTTATTTTTCTTCAATTAAAAGTGCAAGGCTCATATAAAAGAAAACATTTTCTCTAGAAAATAATTAAAGGAAGTCAAAAAAAAAATCAAGGGAGTATACTAAGGAGATATAGAAATACCATATAAAATTCCTGAACTTCATAATAACTAGGATTACAACTTGCCAAAAGTCTGCAATGGAAAAGATACAATCAAATACTTACCAATAGCATATAGCGGTGTCTTTGTATCCATAAAGCCACGAAATGTGCCTTGTGCAGCAAGTGCTAGTACAATTGCTGGAGCACCATATGCACGTAGAGTAAGAAATTGCTCAGCTGGTAAGCGCATAGGTGAATCCTGTATTGATCATAAAGATGGGCATTACTTTCTGCAATAGCCTACCAGAAAGCATTCAACTATTACATACATTGCAGCACAGAACAACAAGTACATAAAATCATAATTGTCAACATAATTAGCTTTTTATAACTGTTTAGGATTTGGCTTCAAATTTTCGACAATCTCCGAAGGCTAGAAATTTGGTAATAGGCAATATTTCAAAATTCTCTTATGAACCTAAAATCTTATGCTGGAGCAAGCAAGCCTAAAATTGGCACACTTGGAAGAGATTTTACGGTCTAAAAATCACTGTCAAATTGCATCAACAGATTAGTTTATGTTGTATGGTCTGGCAAAAGCCTAGTTATCAAATATCGGCATTTAATTTATATTGCAACAGAAGACTGGACAATGAACATAAGCTTTGTTTCACTTAGTATGCATGATCCATCTTGACCATAGCTACGCATTAGTTGAAAACATGACCAAAGGTTTCAATTCAGTTCATGCATGAGATAGTTGAATTCAACTATGTGATGAATATCATGTCTATTGAAAATTATGATGAATGATAGCATGATTTGACATACAACAGATATACCCATGAAATCCATTAGCAGTCCCAAACCAAAGATCAAAGCCATTGATTCCGCAATCCCAACTACAGCAGCAAAAGCCAGAGATGTTGATACTGCTGGAAGAAACTTCCTACTTTCTCCATCAGCATAATTGATCGGCTCTTGTTGCAAAGATCTTCCAGTGGGAACTTTGCCCCCTGTAAATAAACTTTACCTAAGCTTGAAATCAACATGCTGATTAACTGAAAGAACAGAATTCCTACCTGCTTCAATCGCATGATCATTGCTCTCAGGACTACACTCTAGTGCCTGTTGTTCAGCAACAAAGGATGTAGTCACATTGAGCAAAGGAACATTGAACAGCTTCGAAACCAGATTGAATATTGAGACTGAGACACCAACTGCTGCTAGCTCAACAGAACCTGTTAAGGTTTCATACAATATTACATGGCCGGAGAAGGAAACACAAGGCGCAGCGAACATGTAAATTTGCAACACCACATCGAAGTTCCCCTAAAGATCGTATTGGTAGTACTTCTTACATAAACCAAAGAGCTAATAAGTCAACAGCATCAAAGTTCCTAGCTTTCTAACAGAGAATCAAACGATGAACTCTTTTTAACATTCCCAAAGCATAAAAAACATAGAAGGTAAGTTATCCAGTACCCAAGTGTCCCACGAAGGCGGTGTCCACAATCGAAGCGATGGGGTCCGCAGCAAGAGCCAAGACAGCCGGCAGGGCAATGCTCAGTATATCTAAGCTGATCTCATCGCCTCTGGGGAACAAATCAAAAATTTCTCAGCTACACGAATGACGCTATCGATTCGATACGTTCTACTAATCCAAAAAAGCGGTACTCACGACACGACGAACCAAGAAACAAAGAGGAAACCCACGAATCGAAGCGTTCGCAAGGCGTTCCACAAACTCGGGTACCTAATTCGATTGAGGAGGCCCGAGGCCCGGGTGAGTAGGGACCGGTCGGTGTCGGAGGGCTGGGGCTTGGCTTGCCTCCGGGATACCCGCCGCTGTTGGGATTTTGGGCGGGTTGGGGAACGGGGGAGGAGAGGCCGAAGCCTCTTCGACGGAGGCCGAGGGAACGAGGGAGCCGGCGAGAGGATTTGGATCGGCGGGTGGAAGGAGGCGATCGCCATGGCTGCCGAATCGAGCTAGCGCAGTCTCCGTTAGTGTGGCTTGGCGCGACGGATTCGCGGCCACACTCAATACCAGTCAAGAGGGAAAAAAATGAAATATATCTAATATAGTTTTTATGGAAGAAAGAAAAGTAAAACGATAATATTTATGTTTATTGCGGTCCATAGAATTCGGATCCTCCATTTGTACTGCACGGCCCGCTACGGTTCGCCTGTCTCGGGCGGGCCACCGTGGGGCCCTTGAGGTACTAAGTGTACCCGCCAATGCTATGAGTCTTGTTTCTGTTATATGACTCGGCCAAGACATTGAAGCCAACATTTGTACTATGCAAGATAGGGGAAGCGGACATTTGGACGCTGACATGCACACGTCTGGTACAAAGTGTAGTACGCTAAGATGTCCAAGTGATACGACAATGTCCTTGGAGATATTTTTATGATCATTCAATTCGTTTAATTACCATTTCTACAAAGAGTTAACAAGATAAATACAATATGGCATTCTGGTGGCATATAAAATTTGTAAAATTTATATCCGGTTATTTTAAACAAAGTGAATCGAACTAATGTAGAGGTTTCCAAGAATCGGGCAATGAAGTGTCGATATCAAATAGACATTTCACATGGGGATGAAAAAGTATGGTTCCTCTCGCTTACCGCAGCTTCCATTTTGGTATAACAATTCATGATAATATAACATAAATCACCCGAATGTTTAAATGATTCTTGCGTGAACAACTGTCATCAATAAATTATTGACAAAGCTTAAGACATACCTACCTGTTAATGATTTAGAGCCGAAAACCTTTTTTTCATTTTAAGTTTGAATACTCCAAAATCTGATCCTGGAATGGTCACTGAAGTTCTAAATAACAGAGAACGTTAGTTCAGATACAACAATGCTATCCCAGTATGCTAACAAAACATATATATATATATATATATATATATATATATATATATATATATATATATATATATATATATAAAATTAAATGCACAAGTAATAATAAAAGACATGGCAACCATAAAAAAAAGCTAAAACTCACCTCTTGTAGGTACATAGAAATACCAGCAGTCTGTCAATTACTTTCCAGTTCACTACATTTCCAGCTGATTGTGTGCCACTCAAAAAGGATTGAGTCATGGTTCTCTAGCCAATCTAAACCATAATTCAGGAACATGTACAATAAAAAAAATATGGCCTTCTGTTTCCTCTCACATTAGAAATGAGCCCAAATATGTATTAAAACATATCATAGATAGCATGATTTGTCACACACATAAATAATAGATTCAGAATGCTAAATGTAAATAAATGCACAACGATCTGCATTCAGAACCATGTACATAATCCCCTAGTAGTTGCATGACATTTTAAACTTAATATCAAGGAAGACTGGGGTCAGAAAATGTTATTATTATCAAGGCTCAGAAGACATTTTATACTAATATCATAGAGAGGCCCAAGAAGCCGAGAGCAAACTAGAGTACAACAGTGCTGACTAGAAGATGGAAAGTTCCCTTCACACCAAGAGCTACTGCTACATATTCTGATATGGTAACTACAAACAATGCAATTTTCTGTGTTAAAGTTTGTTTATGAAGCTACAGACTTATGGCTGGTAATGAGATTGTCAAGAAATGGAAGGGAAAAAGAATTAAAGGAACTACCAACAACGTTACAAATTCAAAATGAAGACAATTTCAGAAGGAACCATCTGATGCAAGAAACAAAATCTAAAAATTGCCAGATGAGGAAGGTTTGAAACCCAAGTGTTGTGTGCTGATGTGAAATCCTCGAGTAATCAAAATCTGTGACCTATATTTCATATGCAAACAAGCTTGGGTCACATTGCTGCCATGCTGATGTGAGCCCATTCATCAACACAGAAATGTATCAGTACATCATCATAAGAGACATAAACAGAATGTAGCATTTTAATGAAGCAGCAACACTCACCTGTAATTTTCAAATCTAGCAGCAGTTTGGAGATTAGTTCCACATGCCTCTATAAAAAGATTAACACAGTACAAATAAACTTTAGGATCAACAATTTTAAAGCCCATCCAATTCTTGAAATGAAGTTCCCTATTAAGAGGATTAGAATGACCTACCTTATGCTTCATTTTCGAGTACAACTTAGGTGACAATAACTACAAATAGCTCTAAAATGACATTCTCAACACACAAGCCTTCAGTATGGTTGTGATCGATGACCACCATAATGATGCCTATCTGGTCCCGATGCCCCACCATAGTGATAATTATCTCTTCGTCGCTCTCCACCACCATAGCCCCCTCTTCCACCACTGCTTGCATAAAAGTAGAAAAAAAGAAAAGACACACTTAGAGCTACATATATGTCAGGCGTTTAGAGGAAAAGATATTACATGTAAAATTTTATGAAGAAACCTAACAATATACACTTAGAAAGACTTTGCAATGCAATAGCTGCAGGCAAGGTAAAAAATATGCAGAGAACATAATACCATAAAGCATGAATGTAAATTAAGGTGGGATTATGGACATACAAGTATTCAACTCAGATTATTTCAAAACAAATATAACTTTGTGATTGCTGACATAAGGTGGTATCAAGGACATACTTAGTAAAATAAACAAAACTTTGTGATGGCTGAAATATCTCTTATATATTTAGCAGCTTCTCATACAATATACAAAACGTACATCTGATCTAGCATGTAAAAAATATTTTACAACAAAAACACTTAAAATTTTAGCAAATAAATAGAAATACTACTTGAGCTTTTCGCTTAACCCTTTTTTTTTTTTTTGCATAATTGTCTTCATGTGACTATGTGAAATTATATACTTTAAAGGGTATAATATAACTTAAAAGATATTATGTAAATTATATTAAGCAATTGAATGTATATGTATATAGTTACGATTTTTTCTTACTTAACATTATCATATATATATATATATATTAGAAAGTCTAAATTATAACTTAAAAACTATAACTTGCACTTTCAAATTGAACTTGTATATTCTATATGACACAACAACAAGAAGCCATAATTACATCAAATAGTAAATAGTTTAATACATAAGTTAATTTCAATTCATAATTATAATTTGATGTAGATTAAATGTGTATATGCTTGATTTAAACTTACATGTTACATATTACACAAAAAATAAACTCAATCATAAACACTTTCTACTTTTCTTTTTTGCTTTTCATAGGAATTCAAATTATTTTTTGGTCCATCCAGTTGATATGGCCAATACGGAGTCTTTGCAACTGGTTAATGCAAATACTATTCCGAATTTTAACAATGCGAATACTGGACAAGAGTTGATATTAGCAAGCATCATTTACAAAATACAAACAGTGGTTTTTGGCATAAAAACCCCACAATTTATGATAGATAAACACCCAAACACAAACTACTGGAACACCAGTTTCATTCCTTAATTTTATATTTTGTAATTTTTACATTGGTGACAGCCTGGTTTAACTCAGGATAACCTTGGTGCCTTGGAATCCCCAACACCTTTGACAACATTGCTCCATAGCAGCATATTAGTCTTTGCTAGCACTATAAGGTTTCTTCACAATCTATGGGTATCTGCTTCCTAACACAACAATCTGCTATCACATTAAAAAAATCTCAATATGAAAATAAGACCTTTGCCACTTCACATGAAGATGAAAATCCAATATGGCTATCCCCTAGATCTGCCTGAGACCAAGAACAATTTCGGACACTTATGTTAAACATAGTATTTACATGATCAAAACAAGGGCTAAATGTAATATTTACATGACCAAAACAAGAGCCATTGAAATATATAGACATGGTCACTAAATTAAACTGCTGAGATATAGCAGATATGACAGAAGAGTCAAACATAAAGAAAAACAAACAAGAGGACACATTGAGTAAATAAGACTAAAATACAAAGGCAATATAACAAACATGAAAGGATTCCTAGCAATTTTAAGTCAAAGAAATATGATACCCGCGACCATATGCAGGTGGAGGTTTAAGTGCAGTCTTCTCTGCCATTGCAACATTGATCTTGTATCCCCTCATGTCGTACTCTAAAACAAAAGTTTGAAATAAATGTATAATTGAAATTCAAGGGGAAGCACAAACAAGATAATTAGAACACCACAGAACTTACTGTTGTAGAAGCCCCCGGCAGAATGTGCAGCAGCAGGGTCTTCATATGACAGTACAGCATCCCCTTTATTGTTCCCATATTCATCAGTGTATATCTTGATATTCCACGGCCATTGGTCCTTGTAACCACGTTTTTGCTTGATTCTGCCAACCTAAAAAATATAATAATATTACACGTGCGTGCACGCAAGATTATATA